CACTCTTTCCATCTCTGGAAAAGTGATGTTTTTCTGAAAGAGAATCTGAGTGATGAAAGATTTTACGTTTGGTTGGCCACAGCTAATGAGAAGCCTGAGCAGAAAATGTTCATACAGAAGGATGAAACCAGGCTGCTGCTGGAAAGGTTTATGTGGCGCAATTATCATTGCTGCTATTGTTACTTACCAGAAGACAAGCAGTGTGGGAGGTGTGAAGTACACAAAGCAATTATCATTAATTGAGGCAGGAAAACGCACCATTAAATGACTAATTTGTTGGGGTTTTTTATTCTTTCTGAAATATCTGGCTTAGCTTCTGAATATTAAATGGTAATACACAGTATTTGCTATGATATAAGTTTATATAATCTACTTACAAAAAAAAAAAAAAAAAGAAACGACTATACCTAAATATCCAGATATCATTTGTTGCCATAGGATGTGTTTTGCTTTGATGGCTTTCTAAAGACATGTTCTAACAATGTTTTGTTTTGTTTACAAGACTGTCACAAAGAAAGTTATTTAGCTTCCCCTAAACAATAGGATTTGATCCAACAGCATTCCCATATCACAACCATTCGTTTATCGCGGGGGTTACGTTCCAAAAAGTTTGTTATTATACAACTAAATACACCATAAAACATTGAAATCAAGGAAAAAAAACTTTTTACAGGCCCAAGCATTTGTTTAACAAATTAAAGTACTGTATAAACGTTTGTTGTTGTTGTTTTTTTTTTTTTTTTTACAACTAACTACTGTACTGTACTGTAAAATAATATAGTTATAAATAAATAAGTAATAATTTCAATCATTAATACGAACTGAAGGGTTATTATTGCGGGGATCAGCACCGCCCCGCCGTGACGGATTGAAACGGGAGAAAATGAAAAATGATTATGAAAAAAAATACAAAGTACAGTAGGACAAATAGTGACTCACTGCTGTTCTGACGGAGCCGCTGCATCCTGACGCTGCTCTGTGGCGTTTTTTTCTTCTAAAGCCTGCGGTGCAGGTGTGTTTTTTGGAGAGAAGAACAGTTATCGGTAGTTGTTGTCGCTCTTTTTTCTTCTGGGCCAAAAGATCCTTATAAACCGACATGCCACCATCGATTATGATTGACAATAAAGTTTAACAATGCATGATGCAAATCCGTGAAGCAGCAAGACCGTGAAAATTGGACCGCGTTATAGCGAGGGTTCACTGTATAGGAAAAAAGAAATTTAACTGAATAAATTATATTTTTTTTATGTCCATTCATCCTTCTATTGTTGCAGGTTTCCCTGAAATTCAGTTGAACATGTAGCCAATCTATAGCTGCTTCCCCCCTGAAACACGTGGCTTTAAGCTGGTTTTTGAAACACGGGTTGACCCATTAACCATGAGAATATGTCTCCATATCCATTGACAAAAAAAGTTGGGTCTGACTCTGCTGCAAGCTGCGTGGCCTCTGTCCCCACAACGCTGCCAGTCTTGTGACGCCCTCACACTAACTTAGCATTGATGATGTAATTGGTGCAAAAGATTCAGAAAAACTAAACAACAGAGAGCAGGAAAGGAAACAGAGGCTTAGTAAATACACTTTATTTTGCTCTTTTGTCTGTCCGAATCCCTATTGCAAGTGCTGTGCCATGTTTATTGAACGCCAGCAGAGTTGTTTTGACTTATTATAATCAGATGGGACTGGCACAATGTTCTGACATCCATACGTTGCGCTCAAGGGTATAAAGTAAATTAGCGGGTTGACGCAGGTTTGTTGTTCCCTCTTTATGTCGAGAGAATCTGAGTTTTCAGTCTTGCAACAAATCCATCTTGAAAGACTCCCACAAATACGTCCGTCTCCGAACCACTGGCGAGTCGGACAAATGACATGCCAGCAGTGTTTGGGGCGGGACATGTAAGAATGATGGCAGTTAGAAGTGCCTTAGTGGGGCATTACAAACATGGCTATGCTGGAGGACTCACCTGTAGATATCGCAGTTGACTCGGTTTTAGCCATAATAGCAACAATCTCTAATTTCAAAAAAGATCAAAGAGATGCACTTGGTGCCTTTGTAACTGGGACAGATGTCTGTGCTTTTCTTCCGACAGGATTTGGAAAAAGTTAAAATTTATTACTTTAAGAAACGTCATGATTCTCTGCTACGATTGGCTGAGAGCGTATTATGGAAGGCCGGTACTAGCTGGCACGTCACCCAATCAGCTTAAAGTATTGTACTAAACGTCCCTCCTTTTCATAGACAGACTGAATGGCAGCCGTCCCAGATTTATAATGAACTCAACTCAGTTCTACACAATTTGGCTATTTCCAGATTACCGACCGAGGTCCCTGAGGGCTTTCTATACACTAGATAGTGTTGTTTTTTTTTGGTATAAACACCTGCTTCTGTATTACAACAAAACACATCAGTATTTTTTAACTGCTAGAATATAAAACCCTGAAAACAGCATGAATGAGTGTTTTGATTTAATATCACTAGAACCACATTGCTCCATTTAAGCTGCAGAAAAGAAAAAAAAATCCTTGGTCTTATTTTAGTAACATCATCCTCTAATAAATTTTCAGGCTCCTATTCAAATGGCATTTTAAACAGAATGTGGAAAAGGGAAACTGCTCTTTAAAGAATAAAATGAATAAATACAACAAACCCCTGAAACAAAGAAATGTTTCAGGGAGCGGCGCTAGTCTGGCCTCCTTGACTTGGATTGATCTTTATTGATTTATTACACCATGTAATAATTATTTTGCTTCTTAAAATCAACATATTTATCAGAGACTCGTAAAGTTAATTATACATTCATTCAATTGTGTATTTATTTTTAGTTGATAGATTAATGGCCCGATCTTTTCCATTTTCCAGTGATCAGAGCTTGGCTACATTAGCTGACGAGTTGAGCCAATTTTACTGCCATAAAGTGCCTGCTAGTTAAGGTTGACAGTAGCTCTGCAAGACGAACATCAGTGGCGGTGCAAATCAAGCATGTCAGAAGTATGGAAATATTTTAGTCTGGAGTGAAGACTGTCATAAAGCTACTTGCAATGTCTGCAAAATGGCAATTTCTAGAAGAGGTAGCAGCAGAGCTAAATTTAACTCCACGAACTTGATCATCCGTCATCTGAGACCAAAACATGTTTTTGAAGCGTTTTGTAATGCTGATTAGAAGGTTGCAAAAGCAAAGCAACTTTATGAGGAGCTGGACTTTATGAGGAGACAAAAATACTCCAATGAAAACAAGGGGGCAAAGAGGATTCCAGAAAGGTTGGTTGCATATATTGCTCTTAATAACTGCTCATCTCAGTAGTTGAGAATGTCGGACTTAGACACCTGCTGGAAGTTTTGGACCCGCGCTACGCTCTGCCCCCGAGACACTACTTTGCCGACGCAACCATACCACAGCTGTACAGCAAAGTTAAAGAAACAATGCAAAGTCAATTGAATCGGGAATGTTGTTAGTTTCACTACTGATATTTGGAGCACAGACGTTTGCCTTGTCGGGTTAATTTTCTTAAGAAGACTGAAATACACAAATTATCGATACTATTCCTACAGAAAGGACAGACAGTTGAACCCCAGACTCAAACATACTTTCTCCCACTGGACCTCCTTTGCAGAGCGTTTATTAACAGAACATGATATGGAAGTAAATATGTGCCATCAGAATTTGAATAAAAAATACCTCTGAAATTTGAATGTTGTATATTAGTGCTTACTTTTTCAGTATTAAAATAAATTCAGAATATATTTTTAACCTAAAAAAAATTCAATGTCATTATTTGTACATAAAAAAAAAATTCAGTGTAATTTTTTTTACATGGTTGCAATTTTCAGTTATTAAAAAAATTCACATTCCTATTTCAAAGTGATAAAATTTTCAATATACATATTTTTCACAGTTTAAATTTTCAGTGTTAAAAAATTCAGCATATAAAAAATTCAACTTTTCAAAATTCAAATGCAATATTTTCGTTGTCCTCCAATTCAACTTGCTCAAATTCACTGTCTCAAATTCAGCGTCTAAAAATTCGCTGTAAAAATGGCCAAGGTTACTTCAGGTCACAGACATTAGCAATGGATGTCCGATTCCAACATCCATCTAATCACGTGACACAACCGTCATATTGAAGAAGTACCAGTATCACCCAGGCTGGCGACCATGGAGGCGAACTCAAACCCAACGGTGGGTTTAATGCTGTCATATTTCTGTAGTATATTTTATTTTGCGCATGAAGTTTGATACATTATCTTAAAGCCTGATTTAAAACACTGGTTTGGGCCGTTGTTAATCTTACACCGTGTAGTGCCGGCATATTACTTCTCGCTACCTCCGAGCACATATTTGAGTTTCATAAATTTCATTACGAAAAGCAAAATGTTGGATCAAGACTTTAAATCGGATCATATTTGAGGTCAAAAGATCAGATCAGTGGCCTGAAATGCTGAGCGGGACAGCCCTAATTATTTTATAAAGGTATTTATTTTTTTAATCATGGCACTCCTTACCCTCCATAAAGGAGCAGCAGGGTTTAGTAAATAAATAACTTTGTGTCTATTAACTGGTTTGTAAATCAAGGAACCACACAATTAAAATGTGATTTGTAAGACTGCTGCAGATTTTAGACTGAATTTCCTACAAACGCCTACAGTTGAATAAATACTTTTGCATGCATATAAACTGGAAGACTTATTTAGGATGTATGTTGGAAGAATTTATAGTTCAAACACACCGTTACTCCAGTGCAAATAATTCCCTGATTTCTCTTTTCAAACAATTTGATCATTTTAAATAATTGTTTACATAAATAATAGAATTATTAAAAATATTTATATTAAATATAGTTACAGTTATCTCTTAAAAATAGTGCATATTTTTTTCGTCTTATCAGAACAAGGTCTGCTGCTGTCGCTGCATCGACAGAGATTCAGATTTTTTCTGAAGCACGACAGACACCCACATCAGTTCCTCCTCCAGCTCCTCCCCCCCTCTGTTTTATCCTACTCCTCCACCTTCTCCATCTCCTCCACATCCTCTTTTGCGTGTTACTCGTGGCCCTGAAGCAGCATGAGAGTCAATCTACAAGGGAATTTCATGTAAAAGCGGCTCATGGATGAATTGGCTTCCAAGCAGTTCTTTCAGCGGGAGCAGTGAGGAGATGGTTGCTAACAGAGTGATAAGAAGTGATTCATCCTATGCAGCCTTGAGGATCAACACTTTCTTTCCAACTGGAGTTGCTGAAACTTTACAGAAACTAAAACCGCTTCCTTTTTGTTTTGCAGATTTCTCTAAAGCTTAGAGCTTGAGAGGTCATTGTCGGTGAACTGTGATTATTCCTCCAACGAACAAGAAGCTCTTCTTTTGCAAAAAAGTCTGAGCAGAATCTTCGAAGTACCTCAGCTGGTTTGTCATACAGACGTTAAACAGCTGTTGTTTCTGCCACCTCGTCTTGAGGGGGAAAAAAAGCTACAGGATGCAGCACTCATACCTCCCTGACAAACTTGTTTGCATAAAAGATCCTCGTTCTTAGCAACTGTTGAGGATGAGAGATGGCGTGGCGACCTACCTGTATTTGACAAGTGTGTTTTTCACCTCGTTGGAGAGAGGCGCACAGAGGGAAAAAAAAAAAGTCTACGAGAGGCAACAGGGGAGGGGAAAAACCAGCCAAGAAAAGGTGCGAAGCAAACGCTTTGAAAGGGAAAATGACTCGCAGAGCGGGCAGACGGGACTGAGTAAATCGCTGCCGGACAAAAGGAGGAGCGGGGGGTAAAAATAACGATTTACTAAAACGCCCTTTTAGTTTTGGAGCATTGTGTTTGGTCTGAGCCATCAAGGGGTAAGTATATATTCCATTTGAAGTGGTGTAATGGCAGGAAAGGAAATTGTTAATATAGAAGCAGCTTCTAAACAGACGTACTTACGAATCTTTGATTATCCATGATTGGGTTTAGAATTATTCTCAGTTTATTGCTGAATAGTAAATGCAGTTAAGAGTTGCCTAGAGCAACAACTGCACATCTTCAGACAATCTTCAATGGAGCTTTGGTTAAAAACTGCTTAGTTTAAGGGATTTTTAATCAAGCTTAAACCAATCAAATATATTACAATTAATTTGAGTATAAAGAGAATTAAAACTACTAATCCAAAGTGCGCTGAAAGAAAAACATCTTTAAAAAATAAAAACATACTTTGACCAGAGAACAGTACAATAAGAAAAGCCTGCTTATGGTAAAATGTTAAGACTAATGTTTTCTGAAGCCGATGGAAAAACAGAGCTACGAAAATAAATATAAGGGTTGGGTAATTTATACCAAATTTAACATCTTGATATTGTTAAGCTGGATGCTGGTATATGATATTTATCTCAATATTTTTTTATTTTCACAAAGTTCTGATACAACAAAATCCCTCTGAATCAAAGCTTTGTCGCAAACGTCACACAGGCACATTTTTGAGAAAACAGCTGTGAGATAAACATGACAAACCCAACATAGTCTACATCATGCATAGAGGGATAAACATAACTCGACATAGACTTGATTTTAACAATAGTCTCGCTTCACATATCTCTTACATATTTTGATAAATCTCAGTTTTAAACCTTCATATGTTTCATGTATTTATCTTATTTATTCGTTTGTGGATTTGGACAGTGCATTTTATTGAACATATATGATAAACTAAGGAATGTAAACATGCTGGATTCTAACAATTAATTTCCTTCTTTAGTCCCGTAATAAGATGTTTGGGGGAAAAAACAACAGATTACTAAAAAAATATGTATCCCATACTTCTATTATCCACACAAAAGAGGGAGGAAAATGTAACAATGAGAATCTCAGAATACTTCCTGAAAGGATAGTCATAAAGAAACCTAAGTACTGAGCTGTCCTTAAACTGATTATTTGAATTAAATTTACAGCACACATTACTCTAAATTACGTCATTAAAGAGATTACCTTTATGACTCAATATAAGATGTGGAAACATTCCCTTCAGCTCATGGAAACTATTTCATTTCCACATAGTATTTAAGGTGTGCAAACATCTGTTCCTTGAATCTCAAATGCACCATTCACACTTTTTTTTGCCTGCTGATACTCGTGTCTGCTTTCTTCTTTTAGGTCTCAAATAACAAATTTTCTATTGGTTGTAAACGTAATATATTTATGGAACAAAATCAGTTCTTTAAAAGAGGTTTTACTCTTTAAGACAACAGAAGATTAAGCAATTATAAGATCATCCACATGGCCGTATCAAAGCAGGCATCTTTCACATAATCTGCTTTTATTTATTTAACTCAGGTCAAATCTGTTTGTTATTCACCACCATCATCTCAAGACACTTTACAAAAAACTGATTCAACTTGAACACAGAAATATAGTTCACAAATCCTACAGGTAGATCTACCTTCAAGAATATACGTATCAATTTATTCCTTATAATCTAGCTCTAGTTCAATTAGCAGAAATTCCTCCTCCATAGCAAGCAAGTAGAAGCAGTCAAATATCCAAAATAGTAAAGTGTATTACTTAACTCCTCAGCAACAGCAGAATATCAAGCATTCGCTCACTTCTGCCTTCTAAAATGTAACAACATATCTTTTCTGCTCCATTACTAGAAGGAAAAAGCAAGAATTATGATTGGATTTTCTAGTTTATAAACTTAAACAAAAAATGATCAACAATTTTCTAAACAACTGGACGGATTGCTCAGGGGGGGGTGTTCTATAGGTCACCAACCAACCTATGGTTTTGTTTAGCCAACCATCATCTTTAGCAGGATTCAGCTTAATCAGCACTTGAAGAGAAACAGACCAAACAGCTGTGATGCATTACTTTCCATTTCTGCCAACCTGAAAGTGCAAGACTACAATCATTCCTCTGATTTGCGTCCAACTTCTGCAGTTTGCACAGATAATCAAGTATCCTTAACCACACTGCAAATTCCTAATTAACAACATGATTGGGAATATTCATCTCAGTTAGGATATCCCTCCCGTTTGTCAATCCTGTTGGCTAAATCTCTGAAGCCATAATCTGATTTCCTTTTGTTTCATCATGATTGAGCCTTGATAGGTGCCCATTAGCAGCCTGGGTAAACTACGGCTGCGGGGGAGGAGGATTGATCCTTGTGTTAATGTGTACAGATGGATCTCCGTGTTGGGATGAAAATAACTGGAAAGGCAATTTCCCCCTACTCTTAGAAACTCATAATACCAGGATTGCAGCATGTGTGCCTCGTCTTCAGTAACAACACAATCAATCCCCCAGCATTGCAGGAACCCTGATGAAAAATAAACCAAACAGATTTCTAAAAAAAAAAAAAAAAAAAAAAAAAACTAACGCAAACCCCAAATTAATTTCCTCATATTTACCAGGTGATAAAAATCTTTCCAACCTCACATGGTTTGAAAATGTGCTGAAATATTTCACCGTGCATTTATCCTTGAAAAGTTAGCTATGAAGGAGAATTACCGGCTTGAAAAGAATCACTTTTAATCTCAGCAATGAGAAAAACACAGCAGACTCATTCAATCAAGCCAGGGATGCTTTAACACAGGGATTCATAAAAACATCCCACAAGGCCATAAAAAAAGAACTGTACATGCCCTTTAAGTTAAAACATTTTGTTTAGATCATTTCCACATTAGGTTTATTATCCATAGTATAAGACAATAAAATGCAGCTTTATAGGAGGGATTTTAGAGAATAAAAATAAATAAAAAAGATCCTGAATATTAACTGCATAAAACAAATGTTTCACTAAATCAATCACATATTTTTAGACATCAAAAATTGCTGATTATTAATCCGCTTCTGAGACGTTTCTACTCAAAACAGATGCAATAATCTGCAAGTGCAGAAAGACAATCGCACTTGGTAAGACTTCTTGTTTTGAGAAGTCTTACGAAGGGCAATTGTCTTTCTGCATTGGAGGATTATTGTGTTTAATAATCAAACAGACTCTGCTCTAGTATATCAATCTTAGAACAAGGTTAAAAAGACCTTTTGGCTGAGGCTGCAAAACTCACGTTAGATGGACACTTTTTGCAGTGTAAAAAGTGCCATTAAAGAGTTAAACTTTTGTTAGTATTAATTCAAAGGGTAAAAATAACATTGAAATGTTATATTTAAAGACATGAAAGAGACTGAATGAAACGAGTTCCACTTATGAACAAAAGGCAAGATTTAAATAAAATGTGATAAATTTAGATGTGCCAACTGATAGTTATTAAATTAGAGTTTTATCCAAAGTGCACAGTTTTACAAATTCATTATAAAAAGGGTAATACATTCCCATGTATTTCATTAACCAAACTTTTGAGAGATCGAAATGAACATTACTAAATATATCCAGCTTATTCCAGTTCTTAATCAAGTGTTAGATTAGGCAAGAGTAACTAATCAATTTTGACTGGTTTGGATAAATTTGGGTTAAAACCAGGAATTTCATAGCACAAAAATAACCTAAAAGAAAGAAAAAGAAATCTTTAAAACTGGCTCTTAAAGAGTGTGACATACAGTCTAAACTTCCACTGTTTACAATACCTGACAAAGAATAAAGCAAACCTGTCAAAACACAGCAGTGTTTTGGGGGAATTGAAGGCACAATGAGTTAATTAAAAATTAAAATAAAATCAAATGTATTAGTTTTTACAAGTGAAGACAAAAATGTATCAAAACACAAATTGCCCCAAATGATGTTGTATTTGTCCCTAAACCTAATAACCTGTCATTTCCCCTTGGTTGTAACAGCTGCCATCATGCATTTACGATACTCAATAATGAAGACTGACATCCATGTCAGAGTTTCACATCATTTTATAGTCTTTAATTTCCCCACCGCCAGGCTAAATGTAATTTGTTCAATCATTTTAAATACTTTTTTTAACCAGTAAAAAATGGATACCAAAGATTATATACGAGTACGTTTGGTGAGAAGGTTAAAAGGAGAATTGTCAGGTATTGTTTTCATCACTTGAACCCCCAAAACTACTGCCTGTCTTTATCTGTTTACATGCTAACAACTTTTTCAGATAACACAACATTTCTGGCAAAAGGTTAAAAGACCCAAGGCATTATTTTTTTTCCCCCAAAGTCAGAGGAAAAATGGAGGAGAAGTTATGCCCACACATTCACCAACGAGACTAGCTGCCCACTGAGCCGACTTTGTTAACGTTAGCAGAGTAGCGATTAGATGAGGGCAGACAGACCAGCTTGCATGGATGTTAGCAAGTCATAGGAGCAGCCTTCAGCTGGCCACAGTGATAAACGTCAAACTAGAGAATTTAAACCCAAAGTTGCAAGTTACTCCAAGTTCAGGGTCTGTTTGACAAACCTTATGTTGTTTATTATGTTGTCTGACAGGTTCTATTAAAGTCATTTTGAAGTTCTACAAGTCAGACAGTATCCAGGCCTATGTGTGACCAGTAAAAGTGAAACAACAGTTAGACAGGTTTTTATGAATTAAAGGTATAGAGAATTATCTTATATTTCCAGGTGGATCATCTAAATAAGTGGTCCTCCTAATTGTCAAGCATTCTGGTGATATGTTTACGTAAGGCCGTCCTGCGTGCTCGTCTCGTTAGCCGTCCTTTTCTCCGCAAGCGCATTTTTAGGCGTATATCTGTGGTAAGTCATTGAAGCTCATCTTTCTTACTGCAGTTCTTTGAAAATGGCCCTAGGTTGTAAGAGAAAAAGCGTCTACGAAGTATGAGAACAAAAGAAATTCCTCAGAAGAGGCAGATATATCCTAGAATGCTTTGCGCAGGGAGCTCTCCTTACAAAGCATTATGGGATTTTCTGTCACAGCAATCCACTATCAACTAACAAAAATG